ATGAAAATTGATACAATTTAGTTATAATTTATGAAAAATTGATGTAATTTAGTTTTTGTCATTAAATTTGTTGACACAGATAAGGGACTTTTCATTAAAAATAACACTAATATTATGTATTACACCAACAAATAGTTATTAACAGCTTCAATTTTGATGAAAAATCGTTTATCCATTTTAAAAAATTTAACAAAAAGGACCAAATGACATCAATTTTTCACAAATCAGGACCAAATTTTATCAATTTTCACAAATTGAGATCAAATATTGAGACTAAAAAAACTCTAGGATCAACATGATATATTTTTTTTTTATGAAAACAAATAATACGTAATTAACTTAATGCACATGCAACCTTTAGCAAAACTAACATAACGTGAGATATATTCAATGTTGCAAGTCATAAGATATGATAATTTTGAAAATAATAATATAGTAAAACTTGTTTTGATTTTTATCATAAAATTTAGAAATCCAATACAACAATAAAATCCTCTAAATTTAGGTCAAACATATAAAAAAAGAAAAAGAACATTTTACAATAGAATAAAACTTTAAAACAAAAGAAAAAAAGAAGACATAAAAAGTAAAGATTGATATCTATCGATGTTTGTTGTTGACTAATGGTAGCATGCTCCTAAGAGTCCGTGATCCTGTTATTGCAAACTAAAATTCGTGTTATGACCTCCAAAGTGATAGCAATGGTAGCCAACAATATGATTATGCCTAAATAACTCTTCTTCCACATATTCTCAACATTCAAAATATCAAAACCTTTTAAAACATTCCATGTGGTCAAGGCAATACTTGTGTAACCAACTACGTAACGAAAAATGTTCCAACATATTTTGTACTTGTGATCCTTCTTAGGCCCAAAAAACACAGCAACACAAATTTGTGCAGATGCAAGACACATTAGAATGATTCCAACGCATTGAAGAGGAGCATGATGAACCCCATAATGTTTTCCAATATACAAACCAGTCCCAAACCCAACAATAGCGATAAAAAAGGCCAATGATTGGCATGCTTGATGTAGGTGAAACCAAGTGTCTCCTAAACTGTCAAACACCTTCAAGTGATGACCCATCATCACTCTAATAGGAATCATTATTCCATGAACTTGTATAATTCACAAGCTCAAAACACATTTCAACTTAAAATGGATAAATATAAAAATACAAATTATTTCTTACGTTTCTCAACACGGTTTGTGAGTTCACATCTTTAGTGACTTTAGAAACCTTGTCGGATATGAAATTAATGGTTCCATAGGATCGAAGATTGGAGAGTGAGAAAGAGTGAGGCCTAAGGGTGTATGAAGCAGAAAGGCTATAAACTGAAAAACTGAGATTACCCTCTTGTAACATTGTCACATAACTGGTTTTTGGAGATATGTGTGCTCTGATGGTAACATTTGATGTATGAATTGCAACGAATGCTTGTGAACCCAGCATGCCATTTAAAGTAGGATTGATGGCCAATGCAACCCAATTTGAATCCTTTGTGTTGGCTTTGTTAAATGCAACATCGACTATATTTGATGAAGGATGATAATTCCAATACAATGAGGATTCAAGATCAGAAAAATCTTCACAAACTGTATAATTGATGTGTTTTGAAAACCCGTATGATTTCCATGATTGTGAGATGCTGGGGACAATCCTAACAACTAAAAATGTTAACAACAAGAATATTGTATTTTCAATTGAACTCATAATAAAAGAGAAGAAAGTAGAGGAAAATAATCAACGTTAAAATTGAGTCTAAGTACACTAAATGACACCTATATTTATAGGTTTACATGGTTTATGAGCGAAGATATTTTTATCTTATATAAAAATTTAAAATATCTTT